AGAATATAGAATAGAACATAATAATAGAATAGAACAGAAGAGAACAACAGAATAGAATAGAATTCAATTCTTTATTGGCCGTGTGATTGGACACACAAGGAATTTGTCTCTGGTGCATAATAAGCTCTCCTTGTACATACAAACAACAAAGTGACAGGTCATAGATCTTAAATCATAGTTACAAACATTCATTCTAAGATACAAACAAGTGATAAAGATCACTTTAGCAACAAGGCCTCTTGAAAAAAATATATCAAAAGAATGGATCTTCAGCAATAACAATCGCCACAAATAACAACAGGGCTTTATATAATAATAACATACTCCTGATATTCATTCCCGGTGAATGCTGATCCGAACAGCCTATAAGTTCGGTCAATCAACTAAATATAAATAAATACATTTGGTGTCCCCTGAAACTTCTTAAACTCCCCCAGTAATTCTCACTCTTTAGGCTCATGGTACTTAACTAATTAATTACTAATTAATTAAAAAAAACTTTACTGGATTTAGAGGCTATCTGACTGCCCAGCGCTGGGATTTTGGCTTCAGAAGACTAAATTTATTATACAGGCTCCTATTTCAGACATCTAGATTCTTATTAGGTATCTTACTGTTGTTGTTTTTTTCCTGTAATTTTTAGCTTCAACACTTTTTAAAAAAAATGTTAACAGCATCAGACCATCTTTTCCATAACCCTCTAACCCACTTCCTTGATTTATTAGTTTATTTTATTTTATTTTTTTTGAACTGAAGCAGGGATGGCCAGCTCTAATTGGGAGTCCGTAAGAGGCAGTGTTTCTCAACTCAGCAACTTTAAGCTGCGTGGACTTCAGTCCCCAGAATTCTCCAGCCGATTTACTTTTAAGATGGGTGGAATTCAACTCCCAGAATCCCCCAACCAATTTGCTTTAAGATGGATGGACTTCCATTCCCAGAATTCCCCAGCCAGCATGCTTTAAGATGAGAACTTCAACTCCCAGAATTCCCCAGCCAGNAAGAGGAGCGAAAGGGAAGTGGAGCTTGCAGGAGGCAATTAATTCATTCCTGCATTCTTCCCAAGTATTGTGGCGTCTGAAAGATATGGGCCTGGCCCCTCTCCAAGCCTGATCAAGGTCGGTAATTGCGACTTATCTTGAAAGACTGCGGGAGAGGAAAGACTTCGCTGGAGAGGAATTCACTGTCAATTAAATAAAAGGGGACGAGGAATTAGTCGTCGAAGCAGGAGGAGCTTAGTTCAGAACACAATCAATCAAGCCTCACCTCTTTCCTCCTCGCTGGTTGTGGACAATTGGCTTGAGGGTCCTGACTCTTCCACAGGGACCCCAGGCTGTTCCAGAGTCCCCCACAAGACGCCCAGTCGGCGTTGCCGAAAACGCTGTCTGGGGGTATCCTGGCCCCCTTCTTCGTCCCCAGACCCGGAAGGTTCTGTTACGGGCATCCGGGAACTGAGACGGCAACGGCGGAAGTGGACTGGCGGGCTCTCCGGGAGGCTGGCGATGCTGCTTGCTTTGCGGAGAAGAGACGGAGAGCTGGACGTGCTGGAAACTTTTGGGGGAGATTAAAAAAAACAATTTGGAAGATGCGGAGCTAGAAAAATAGTATCTGAGAATGGAGGAGATTGCAAATGTTTAATCCTGGGAATTAAATTATGGGTGGTTTAGCAGGAAGGAGAAGCGGAATACCAAGGGAGTCCGCATAATAGAATATTACAGAGTTGGAAGGGACCTTGGAGGTCTTCTAGTCCAACCCCCTGCTTGAGCAGAAGTCCCAATTCAATTTCAGACAAACACTTGCCCACTCTGTGTTCTTAAAAACTTTATTTTTTAGGAAGGAAGGAAGGAAGGAAGGAAGGAAGGAAGGAAGGAAGGAAGGAAAGAAGGAAGGAAGAACAGAGTTGGAAGGGACCTTGGAGGTCTTCTAGTCCAACCCTCTGCTCAAGCAGGAGACCCTCTACCATTTCAGACAAATGATTGTCCAATCTCTTCTTTAAAAACCTNGGTGTGAGCTTCAATGGACTCCAGAGGATGGGAGAGGACAGGAAGGCCTGAAGGTTAACATGGTCCATGGGGTCACGATGGGTCGGACACGACTTCGCAATTAACAGCAACATAGTCACATGATCAGAATCCAGATTCTTGGTAACTGGTTCCTATTTATGACGGTCGCCGTGTCCCGGGGGGTTACGTCATCCCCTTTTGTGACCTTCTGACAAGCAAAATCGATGGGGAAGCTGGATTCAATTAACAATGTGGTGACTAACTTAACAACTGCCGTGATTCCCTTAACAACGGCGGCAACAAATTTTTTGGGGGGGGAGCCTCCATTAATCAATGTTTCACTTAGCAACAGAAATTTGGGGCTCTGTTGTAGTCGTAAGTCAAGGGGTAACATGTACAGGAATAATACCTGTACAGAATAACAAGAGTTGGAAGGGACCTTGGAGGTCTTCTAGTCCAACCCCTCCCCCCTCAAGCAGGAGACCATTCCAGACAAATGGCTGTCTAATCTCTTCTTGGAAACCGCCGATATGGAAGCACCACAATCAACCATGGCAAAAAAAAAAAGTCATTCTTCCCCCTACTCCCATGCCCATCATCCCTGCCCTCCCCCCTTCCCTCTCCCACGATGCGCTCCTCTTTCCCGCCCTTTCTACGATCCTGGCACTTTGCCCCAAACCCATCAGGCGCTTCCCCATTGGTCCACTAGAGGGCGAACATCACGGCTGGCACGCCAGAGGAAGCTGCGAAGGAACTGACATCGCAAACAATTGCCACTCTAGGACGCCACACTCGCTCTCCTTAATGGCCCAGGCTTTCTCTTCTCCCTCCCATGACATCACAAGCAATTGCCGCTCTAGGACACCGCACTCGCTCTCCTTAATGGGCCAGGCATTCCAGAGTTACGCTGGACACACACACAAACACACTCACTACTCGGGATGTCTCCCCCTCCCCACCCCAGTATTTATTTCCAAAGAGTAAGTCATCTGTGTACCAAGTTTGGTTGAAATTGCTCCAGAGTTATGCCGGGACATACACACATCCTTTTTAATATACATATATAAAAAAATAAAGATTTATGTACTACATTCATTTGGCCCCCACCCTTCCATCTTGCCACAGGTACGATTTGCACTGATCACAAAAAAGCTGGTTGATTGCCAGCCTTTGAAACTCCTTGCCACAAGAAGGAAGCCACAAATAGCTAAAAAAAATAAGTTTCAGAAGGGGGTTGAAAGCCACAGGGGTTTAGTTACGAGAGTAAAAAGGATCCAGTTGTTGTGGCCCACCATTGGCAGCAGATTCAGACAGTGAGAAGGTTGCGGAGGAACCTGGGCCAGTCCTGATGTCTGGGGAAGGATCTGAGGAGGGCTCTGTGTCGGAGGCAGAGAGGGGGCCAGAGTCGTATGCCAGCTATCAGCTGCCTTCGGAGTCAGAGATCAGTGAGGCAGAAGAACAGCTGGAGCCTGTTCCCAGTGTGCACATGCGCAGAGTGGCCAGACACGAAGGGAAGAGCTAAACAGGGGTTGACTTGGGAGGAAGGCCACAGGTGAACAGTGAATGGCCCCTCCCAGAGGAAATAAGAGGAGCGACAGGGGAGTGGAGTTTGCAGGAGGGACCATTAGTTCGCTTCATTGGTTCGTGACTCTCCGAACCTCCTGGCCAAGTTCTGCAGAGATCGGCCTGGCAGCTCTCCAAGCCAGATAAGGTCTGTGACTGTAAATCCTCCCTCGAAAGACTTCGCTGGATATGAAGGAGCAGAATTCACAGCCAATTAATAAAAGGGGTTTTTGTCGGGACAAGGAGTTGGCTTCAGGCTCTCGGAAAGCCTCAGTGAGAACACCAGTAGATTCCAGCAACTCTTGGGCATCACCCCANAAGGAAGGAAGGAAAGAAAGAAAGAAAGAACTCCCAGAATTCCCCATCCAGTACACTTAAGACTATGTGGCTGGTGAATCCTGGGAATTGAAGTCCACACATCTTAAAAGTTCCTGAGCATGAGAAAAACAGGGGTAGGTAGGTTGTGCCAGGGCATCCCAAGGCATCCGAGGGGCAATCTTGACCCTCTCACAGCCTCGTCGCTGAAACCTTTGCTCACGCACAAGTCACACCTTCCCACCCAATTCCCTGGGGAGTCACCCCATTTCCGGGCAGGTGAATCACAGGTTAGCCAACAGGTAGTGAAGCGTGCCCACACTTGCCCGGGAGACTACCATCCCCAGAGGGCCTCTTTTTCCGACCGCACGTACAAAACACGGCCCTCGCTTAAATCTTCCTCGGGTGGTGAGATCCCAAAGGGAGCCGTGGCGTTTCCCCCACTATTTTCTTCGATCACACAACATCGGCCGTTCAAATCAGCTTCGGCCGCGCGCCACGTGGTTCAAATTAAAAATTATATTTTTAAAAAACAGGGCCATTTTAAAACCGTTTCCTTCTCCTCCGGGGTCCCTTGAGTAAAATCACTCATCCCCGCTAAAAGCCATCAGACCCACGCACGCACATTATACGCCTCTTCCCTGTGGGCGCATGGCGCATCATAATCTTTTGAGAGCGGCGAATGCAGCGAGAATTTCATTTTAACGCACGCCGATTAGCGTGCATCTGAAATGACAATAAAGTTTTTATTCTATTCCATCCTATCTTACCTCGGCTGCTCTTTTCTCATTGTGGTTGGCAAAAATAGATTTAAAAAAAAATTATTCAACTGAAAGGAGAAAACCCTAAATCCGAAAGAAATCACTTTACTGGCCCCCGTTTCGTGTTCCGTAAATCCATCTCTCCTACCAGACACTCAGCAAACACACGTCCCACAAAACAAACTCCTGTCCTCACGTCTTCCCGGGCGTGCTGTCCTCAAAGGTAGACTGCCCTGCTAGCTGGAGGCTCCATTTCTGAAATCTCGACTGACAAATGTGAAGCCTTGGCTTAAAGGGTACATTAAAGCGCATTCGGGAGAGACTTATCGCTGTATGACCTAGATTTACGNATTCCATTCCATTCTATTCTATTGTTCTATTTAAATCTGGTTTTGTGGTCTGTAAAAACTTGTGTGAAGGAGCATCGTCCTTTTCTGCTGTCCGTCTGTCAAATCCTGGCTAAGATTTGATACTCTTATTTCCGTGTCCTCAAAGGAAGAGACGGCTGCTCCTGTGCTCAGGATGCCTCAAAGCTATCGGGGCCAGGAGTTCCGCGTGTCACACTCACTTGCCACGGGGAATTGCGGGATCCAGGACCCGGTACTGGTCCATGATTTTCTCAACCAGTTTCTGCTTCTCTCGACGCAATTCGCCTAATTTGTCTCTGTGGGAGAAAGAACAGGGGAGGGTGTGTGTTTGGGTTATAAACTGGATAATCAGGCAGTGGAAAGAAGGCCCCTAGCCCAAGATTCTGGATTGGATGGCTCTCTACAGAACTGTGGAGTCTGAAGGGGCTACGAAGGTCATCCAGTCTAACCCCCGTTTGAGCAGGAAATTTGGAGGAGGAGCTGAGAAAAAAGCCTGCATCGCAATCAATGTTTCGTCTGTCAGATATTGGATGAAAACTGCCTTCTTGGGAAGGGGGGGAAAACACAGGTAGTCCTCAAAAGAGGTCAAAATTTATGTTGCTAAGCGAAGCATTTATTGAGTTTTGCCCCATTTTATGACCTTTCTCGCCGAAGCTATTAACCGAATCCCTGCGGTTGTTAAGCGAACCTGGCTTTCATCCTTGAGTTTGATTGTCAGAAGGTTGCAAAAGGGGATCATGTCTCACACACACACACACACAGACACACACAGACACACACAGACACAGACACACAAACACACACACAGGGACGCCACAACTGTCATAAATATGAACCAGTTGCCGAATGTCCAAATTTGGATCATTTGACACTGGGGGATGCTGCAAAAGTCGTTAAGTGTGAAAAAAAACACAGATTTGGATAGTGAGGAGGTTGGGGAGGAATCTGGACCAGTCCTGGAGTCTGGAGAAGGCTCTGATGAGGGCTCTGTGTCGGAGGCAGAGAGGGGGCCANGAAGACCTCCATGGTCCCTTCCAGCTCTATTTTGATTGATTGATTGATTGATTGAAACAATATAAGGTCTCCTGCTTGAGCAGGGGGCTGGACTAGAAGACCTCCAAGGTCCCTTTTCCAGCTCTATTCTGATTGATTGAAATAGCACAGGGTCTCCTGCTTGACGGGTGTGTGTGTGTGTGTGGACTAGAAGACCTCTAAGGTCCCCTTTCCAGCTCGATTCTGATTAAACTGAAATACCTACGGTACAGTTCAATACTGTAAGGAGGTTCAGATGCTGAAGGCAGAGTGTGTGTGTGGGGGGGGGGAGAATGTTAAGCCGTGAAACACCCCCCCACCCCAGAAACAGCCTTCTGAGCCCCCTCCCACCACCCACCTGTCGCCCGCCTGCAGGCGCCGCGGCTGCTCGCTGGCTCGAGCCCCCAGCCCGCCCCCACGTGCCAATCCCGGCGGGGGTGGGCTGCTGATTCAGAGGCACACATAACCCCCCCCTCCTCTCTCTTTCACACACACACACACACACGCACGCGAGAGCCCCAGTTCCAGCTGGGCGGAGAGGCGGGGCTTGCCTCCATTCAGAGGCGGGGCTTCCCCCACTTTGAAAAATAACACTTGGCCAGGCCTGGCCAGCTCCCTTGCCTTTGCAAAGGGGGGGTCGTCTGGCTGGGCTCTGGGGGTCCCGACGAGCCCGGGCTGGCACTGCCAGGCAGGCAACCCCCCCCCCCTGTTTTGGCCCGGCTCTGCGCACCCACTCCTGTTTTGCAAAGCTAGAAAGGGATTGGGGGGGGGGGAAGAGGAGTTAGATAAGCAACTGGTGGCTCGCCTTCCGGATATGGGGAGAGGGTCCGGCGAGCGACCCCTCCCTGCGCTCCTAGCTTCCCAAGAGACGATGCCCGCGCCCTGCCTTCTCTGAAACACCCCCTCCCCAATATCTCTTCGGCTACTGGGGCAGCCAGGGACCCCCCCTTTCCCCATCCAGCGCCTGGCACCCAACTCGCCCCTACCCCAAGGCTGTGCCCGCACCCCACGGGCGCGCCCCGTCTCGGCCCCAACTCCGCGGGCCTCCGCGCCCTCCAAATATGGGGAGAGGGGGGGGGGAGATCCGGCTGTCACCCTGACATTTCAAGCCCCCCCACGCCCCCCAGGCCCATTGGGGACCCCCCATTCCCCGCGCCCCGGCATGGAGAGGCTTGGAGAGGCTCCAAGGGCGCGCGGTGCGCCCTAGGCGCGGCTGACGTCTCCAAGGTCCCCTTGCGCGCCCGCGGGGTGGGGAGCCCTCGTTTGGGGGGTCCGGGGAGCCTGGATCTCGGGGTACCGTTGGTCAGGGGCAGCTCCACCGTCTCCTCCTCGGTGCCGTCCTCCATGGCCGAGCCGTCTCCCTCCTCTTCCTCCTCCTCCTCCTCCTCCTCCTTCTTCCTTCCCTCGCCTGTCTAGCGCTGCCTCCGCTCGCCTTACATGCTGCGGGCCGCGCACAGGGCTTCCTGGTGCAGCCAGCGAGCGCCCGCCGCCGCCGCCGCCGCCGCCGCCGCCTTCTCCTTCTCCAGGCCTGAGTCAAGAGGCAGGAATGCGCGAGAGAAGGAGGAGGAGGAGGAGGAAGAGAGGAAGCGCAAGGCACAAAATCTGGGGAGCCGCCCCGGGGAGGCCGACGGGACCCCCTTCCTGCCACCCACCAACCCTCCCCGAAAGTTGTCACCCGACGTAGAGGGGAGAAGAAGAAAAAGCGCAGCGCTTTTTCATAGAAGCCCCCTCCCTCCTTTTGCAGGTTTGGGGAGGGTGGGCGCAATCGGAGCGCTTCTTCCCTCTCCCGTCTGCAGCCCCCCTCCCTCTCCTTCCTGGAGGGGGCAGGGGGGGCAGTTGTGGGCCGCCAAGGGTCTGCTTCACCCCTTGATAAGACACTTGAAGGCCCTTACAAAATGACAGCATAACAATAGCTGGAAAGGGGACCTTGGAGGTCGCCTAGTCCAGCCCACTGCTCAAGCAAGAGAGCCTGTACAATTGCAGACAAATGGTTGTCTAATCTCTTCTTAAAAATCAATCGGAATAGAGCCGGAAGGGACCTTGGAGGTCATCTAGTCCAACCCCCGCTCGCTCGAGCAGGAGACCCTTACAAAAGGACAGAATAACAGAGCCAAAAGGGACCTTAGAGGTCATCTAGTCCAACCCCCCTCACTCGAGCAGGAGACCCTTACAAAATGACAGAATATCAGAGCCAAAAGGGACCTTAGAGGTCATCTAGTCCAACCCCCCCCCTCGCTCGAGCAGGAGACCCTTACAAAAGGACAGAATAACAGAGCCAAAAGGGACCTTAGAGGTCATCTAGTCCAACCCCCCTCGCTCGAGCAGGAGACCCTTACAAAATGACAGAATATCAGAGCCAAAAGGGACCTTAGAGGTCTTCTAGTCCAGCCCCCTGCTCAAGCAGGAGACCCTTACAAAATGACAGAATAACAGAGCCAAAAGGGACCTTAGAGCTCATCTAGTCCAACCCCCCACCCGCTCGAGCAGGAGACCCTTACAAAATGACAGAATAACAGAGCCAAAAGGGACTTTAGAGGTCTTCTAGTCCAGCCCCCTGCTCAAGCAGGAGACCCTTACAAAATGACAGAATAACAGAGCCAAAAGGGACCTTAGAGCTCATCTAGTCCAGCCCCCTGCTCAAGCAGGAGACCCTTACAAAATGACAGAATAACAGAGCCAAAAGGGACCTTAGAGCTCATCTAGTCCAGCCCCCTGCTCAAGCAGG